TGACTGGCCTGCAAAGTCTTGACCTGTCCTAGAGAACTTTCCGATGAATTAGAAGAGAGATTGAAAGCAATGGTCAAACGTTCTCATAAACCTGCTCCTAAGTCTTGTGGAAAGCCTACCCTGAAGCTGCTAAAGCTACAAAGGGTGAAACAACATCATATTGAACCCCTATGGATTAGGAATGGAATGTCACCCAAACTCATATGTGAGTCAAGGCAGATGAACAAACACTTTTGGCAATATAGTGCGTAATCTGCTGGGTAATGGAGATAATGACTTAAAAAAAGCTCCACAACCATTTATTTGTATAGCACAATTCAGTACAAAGACAATGCAAAGTGCTTTACATGATTAAAATATAGGAAAATAAAACAGATTCAAGGGAAGTAGGAAAATAAATAAATGAAATAAAAAAAATGCAGAAACAAAAAAGAATATTAATAAAAAAGTTGAACTAATGATGTTTCAGTTGAACTGTTTAACTAGAACAGTCGCGGGCAATCCTAAACAAATGTGTTTTAAGTCAAATTTTAAAGGAACTTAGGCTTTCCGCACTTTTATATGTTACAGGCATTTTGTTCCAGATAAGTGGAGCATAGGAACTAAATGCTGCTTTTCCATGTTTAGTTCTGGTTCTAGGTATGCAAAGCAGGCTGGAGCCAGAAGACCTGAGTGGTCTGGAGGGTTGATACACTGATAGCAAGTCTGTGATGTATTTAGGTGCTAGGCCATTCAGGGATTTATAGACTAACAGAAGTATTTTAAAGTCTATTTTCTGAGATACAGGGAGCCAGTGTAAGAACTTTAGACCCGGGATGATGTGCTCTACTTTCTAAGTCTTAGTGAGGACACGGGCAGCAGCGTTCTGGATCAGCTACAGCTGTCTGATCCACTTTTAAGGCAGACCTGTGAAAACACCTTTGCAGTAATCAATTTGACTAAAAATAAACGCATGGATTAGTTTTTCCAGATCATGCTGAGACATTTACTTTTGTTTTTTATGTTTAATGTAAAAATAAGCTTACTTTACATTTACAGAAGCTTCACATTTGACATCTGATAATTATACACTAAATATCAATATCTATTTATGTATCTCTCGCTATATCTCTCTCTCTTAAAAAATACAATGGTACCTTTATTAGCTAACATCACACAGCATTTTTATATCTAATTAAGTATTCAGACCAGTGGCGGCTGGTGAAAAATATTTTTGGTGGGGCTGATATAGCCTAGTGTATGTCTCCAACTAATCCGGAATAAGAATTCAAATAAACAATTGGACAATACATACAATTTAACAGTAATGATTTAATTTACTATATAATAACAGTAACAGTGATGATTTGGGTCACTGTGACGGGGTTCTTTGGCCTCCAAGAATCCAGGCTCAGTCGGGTTACCGGTGTTGGTGATTTATTGTGCTCAAAAACTCAAAACAGGGTGCAAGGAAAGGAAACTAAACATATACAAGATACTCTGGGCCTCAGCTTCCCTCCAGTTACCAGCAATGTAACAAAGAAACAGAAAACAAAAATTGCAGCTTTTCTTCCCCCAGCCCTCATTAAATAATTTAAGCCCCTACCCTCAGTGCTCTCTTATTTCTGATTTCTTCTCATTAATCAGTTTTGTCCATATATTACCTCCACAAACAATTGATGTACAAAAACAAATAATTTTTACAACTTAATTCTTTTACACAGATTCATTGACTTATTCAATTACACCAAACTGGGTTTGAACCCAGCAAAGACGCAGCCAGACTGAAGATGACAAGTCCCCGTAGCATAAACACGTACACACCCACACCCCCCACACACCCACACACACCCACACACACACATGGCTAACCCCACTGAAATATTAAGTGTGCACCCTCAATACGCCAGCAGGTAACCAGGAACAGCTTGTGTGTTTTAAGTTCATGGAGCTACTGAGCTCAGCGCGAGTGTATTGGTCCTCACAAACACAGTATAACAGGAGTGTGTGTGTGGCGCGCAAAGTTAGAGAGGTTGTTTTAAGCGAAGAGGTGGATTCGTCACAGTCACAATAACCATGACATGAAATGTTCATATCCTACAACAGGGATGTTCTTCTGGCAAACGGGTAGATAAATAAGGATCTCACCGAATTTGGTGGAAGCAGCATCTCGCTCGTTACATTCGCAATCATCCCTCTAATTGTCTGCACCTGCGCTTGGGTTCAGAAGCCTGTTAAAGCGCAGTATTTTCAGCGCCCCAAGACCATAAAGTTCCGAGACGCTGATTGGCCATTAAATTCACCTAGCAATAGTACATGATTGACAGATTCTCTGCAAATGTGGGGCTGTCTGATCACAGCCCCCAGAACAGAGACGGTAGGAGTCTGTCTGTGGAAATCCACAAATTAATGACAGTAGATAGGGAAATGTAGTTTATATAATTTGTTTTGCTTATAGGTACACAGTCTAGAGAGTAAAACTGACATTTATGAGTTAATTTCTAAAAATATATTTTACGTTTCTCTCTTCTTATCAGGGAGGGCGGTGCCCCAGCACCCCCTATAGGCCGGCCGCCACTGATTCAGACACTAAACAATAAACAGACAGTAAACACTAGTGAAAAGAAACACAAAAATAAACAAATAAAAGGGAAAGAGGGGTTTAAAAGTCTGTTCAAGAATATCTGAGGAATATCTGACTTTTAAGGCGCATTGCATTTAGAGTGTCCATCAAAATAGGAGCAGAGGAATGTGAATAAACCCTGATGCATAGATGTTAAATGCAGTCAAAACAATGAAGTTTCATTCGGTTTTATTTTGAAAAATGAACAATGACTCAGGAATGCATTAAACATTGATGAGGCTGAAAGAGAATGGGTTTGCTTAGTTGGCTACAGGAAGTCTGGTCTGGGCGGGTCCAACTGAAACAAAGTGAAGTATAGAGCTCACACCATGGCCTCCGTGATGTGGCAGGCATGAGGTAGCTGGAAACGAACAATACTAATCAGTCTACTATAGCAGTGTCTTCAGTCCAATGTTGCTCCTTCAGTTGTTCTAGGAGTATTAGCATTCAGTTAAAATAGGGTGACCAGACGTCCTCTTTTTCCCAGACATGTCCTACTTTTCATACCTATAAAAATGTCTGGGAGGAATTTCAAAATCGTCTGGGATTTCGGTCGACTACAGTACAACACGCAGTCGAAACACACCGGGCATTGGAACTGAGCCGTCAGCTCCAGGGCTGGAACCCCGGCAGACGGGGGCCAGCGAAGGTAACAGGTTGGGTTCAGCGTTTTCAGTCCGTGTTTCCTTTTCCTCTCTCACGCTGCTCTCCTGTCCCGCATCTCGGTGTAACATCATCGGACATGTCGCTTTGAGACATATGATCTGTGGTCCACTTCACTGCTTAAGCAGTCATGCCCAAAGTCGGTGCTTAAGGGCCGCTGTCCTGCAGGTTTTAGAGGTTTCCCTGCCTCAGCACAGCTGATTTCCATTGATTGCTGATTAACAGGCTTTTGCTGAACTGCAATAATCAGAATAAGTAGGGAAACCTCTAAAACCTGCAGGACAGCGGCCCTTGAGGACTGACTTTGGGCATGCCTGGCTTAGAGACTAGCTGCATAGTTGGAGAAAAGACACACAGCAACACTGAATTTTAACCAGCAGCTACTTCGATAGATGCTTATGTAAAAGTTAGGAGACTGGTTGGTTAAAATAATTAGAGATGCCACAGAAAAATCTGTTCGTTAGACATACAGAGCTTTTTCAGCTAAAAATGGCAACAGGTTGTAAGTTTAAACCAGCTGGTAATATAATGCAAGAAGCTTGAGAAAACATAGTTTGCTCTTCTTTATTAGTTAAAAAAGGTTGACTTCCCAGAGGTCCATGACTCACTGTAACAGGTTAAAATCAACATGCTTTCTTATTGAACAGAAAGAATCAGACTACAGAGCTTCTACATATCTTGAAATGTTGTTTCTGGCATCATTATATTATTAAATAGGTTGACAAATCTTTTTAAACAGCACAGAGAGAAGTAGGGAGAGCTGCAGATCTGCAGATTTAAAGGTGAAACAGAATTACTGGGATATGCAACATGCACCAAAATATATCTCCAAGTATATCAGAAAGTTTACAAGAAAAAAAATATGGTGTGCTATATTTAAAATGAAGCATATACATTTTTTTCTGGATTGAATCGAAATTGTACTTCTAGGGATGCATGATATATAAATTTTGGCATTAGAATCAGCTCTTATTTTTTTCATGCATTGATGTTTTTATGTAGGCCCTATCTTTGTAATGCACTAAAAGGCATCACTCTAACTACCTATACATATAAATATCAGTATATTATGGTTCTCTTGTGTTCTCAAAAATAGGAGAGCATTCAATAAATAGATATTTGAGCTCATTTTTGGAAAATTTGCCTAATGAAAGTGTAACAGTTGGTCGATGAGCCACACGAGTGTCCTTACCAACTTTAATCAAATAGTTACTCATTTGCGGTTATGGTAGTCTGGACAGCGGCAGCCCTGTGCTTCTCCCCACCTGCTGGCTCCTTGCCCCCATCCCCCTGGGTACCCTCACCAGCCCCCGGAGCTGACAGCTCGGTTCAAGTGCCCGGTCTGGCCCAGCAGGACCCCCTACCAATAATCATTCTGTTGCTGTTGAGCTTTTAGATGTGATACCTTATCACTTTAACCTAACCACAATCACTCTATTAATGAAAACAAAAAAAAATCCAACACAAAGACAAGTTAGATCATAAACCCTGTTTATTATCTGTAAAGCAGATTTGAACAAAGTGGTCCAATGTATTGCACTGTAACTTCCACAACAAAAGATTACAGAGAAATATATAAAAGAATAGACAATTTACCTTCCTTATGGAAGGTAAAATACATTAAAAAAGTCATAAAAAACCAACAACTAATGCCTGATAGGTATGTTCATTGTTTTGTAAATCTAGATGACTTGAGCTTATTGAGAGCTGTGATTTCCTGCATTGTATGTATTTATTTTTTGTGCTGAACATACTTAAGGAGGAACATAAGGAATTATAAAAACCTAAAATATAATTTTTATGATCTTATTGACAGAAAAGCTTCTCCATCATTTAAAATGGTCCAAAGACAGACAATGTAGAGAGGGAAATAAAGAACAAAATTAAAAGAAATATGCTTGTTTTTTTCTCATTTACTGTCGGTAGACAAATATGAATTCATAAAAGCTCCATGTGATGTACTTCCAGATATTTGTCCAAAAGACTTCATTGAACAGGGCGGATTTTAAAGCTAATAGCCTTCAAGGAGTAGTTATAGCCCTTCCACGATGTCCATTCCACTCCAACAGCATAGATAGAACCATCAGCCCCCCAGCGATAAACCCCATTAGGGTTGCTTTGATGACAGTTGTTGTACCAGAATGCCCCCAAGTAGAGCCTGGCACAATTACTTGGAAAAGAGTCCTGATCTTTGTCAAATGTGCTAAACTTCTTTTCATTGTGGGTTCTTAGAGAGTCTCCTGCAAGATAAATAAATTAAACACAAACAAAAACATCATCCTTCAAATAACCAAAGAAGCATTAACATTAAAAAGTATACAGAGTAGTCTTTTCTTACAAGTCTTTGTATTTAACACTCTTTACTATGTGTCTCAAAATGAAACTAAATGTCACCAGCTGACATGAAAAGTAAGCAAATTATGGAGAGTAATTAAAGATCAGTAAAAATGCAGTTTTTCTATATCTAGTGTAAGTGGCTTGTTAGAAAACACTAGTGAGTAACCAGCATCTTCATGGAGAGCAGTAGGAATTGTTATCTTTAACAAACACTGGGAACCTGTTCAAAGTTTATAAAAACTAGATACATGCCGATTGTAGCGACCATCAACCACCTTTTAATCGCTTCTGTACCAGTACAGTCAGTATGTTAAAAGAAAGGATAGTATTAGGATGACCAGTTATCTGTCATAAAAATATTTATGCCTACTGATAGTTATAGTTCCTAACTAGACCAATTCAAGTTCAAGAAACAATTAAAGCTAACTCATATCTGTCACTAGAGTGTTGTAAAAGACCAGAACAAACTTTGGTAGATAGATGCTAGGTGTTGCTCGCCAATAAGCTGTGTGCAGTAATAAACCTGAGTGCTATGTGTGCCTTATGAATCTGGCTCTCTGGGTTAGATAACTTGAGCTATTTATCAAAGAAGAATGTTAAAGCAATTCAGTCAGTGGATATGCAAATTTGCTAGAGACGGTCTTCAAAACACAGTCCATTAGCAGTGAAAAGTAGCTCTACAAAATAAAGACTCAAGAAGGCTTAACGCAAATCCAAACTAAAGTTTTAGAAACCTATCTGTGTTCAACTGAAATAATCATAGTAAATCGCAACAATGCACAATCATCTTGTGTTGATTTAAGAACAAAGAAATACTGTGTCTTTATCTTAGCCAGCTGGTACCCACCTGCCCCACCATCACTGAATCCAGATACATGCAGAGTATATCCATCAGATTCCGGGCCAACCGAGAAAAAGGAGTAACGAGCATAAACTTTATTTCCTTCAAAGTCCTCCATGTCGACCAGGAGCTCATACTTTTTTCTGAGACTGAGGTGGAAGAGATTTTCAAGACCTTAAAACAGAAACAAAAAGAAACTGATCTGCCAGGCTGTTATTTTGATGTGTTGGTTGTTTTTTATCTCCATTGCTTTATCAGTTCTAGGTCCTACCAAGCCAGTACTCTCCGGCAGCCAGTGATGGGACTAACGGCGTTGAAACTAACGGCGTTACTAACGCCGTTACCTTGTTTTAGTAACGAGTAATCTAACTAATTACTTTGACTGTAACTATAACGCAGTTACCATTGCAGGCACCCCGTTACTGCGCGTTACTCAGGTCGCACAATTAACCTTTTTTCATGATAGGACTCGTGCGCAGCTGCGTGAAGCTGACACCCCACCCACGTCAAAAAGCTCTGCAAATAGACTGAATGGTTAGTGCAACGTTAGTGCAGATTTGTGCAGAAAAAAATATTGTTTGTGCTACTTTTGTTTAAGAGATATTAAAGATTATTTTTTAGGTCATCCAGAGGTGCGCGCCTTGTCATGAGAGAGGGGAGGATGAGATTCCGTCTGTCAGTTGGGTAGGTGGGTGTTTCTGCTGGTGGGTGTTAACGTACAGCACACACAGAGAGATGGAGAGTGATGATGACTCCAGCAGCAAAACAGCGTTTTCCACATGGAAATACCGGTGTTATGTAGAGCTGCGTTTCCCCATCACATAACGGTTTCCTCTGCATCTCCACACAGCGCAGGCGGCAAGAGTCACCGCGCAAGCGGCAGGAAACGCGCATGCTCGCTAAAGGCGCGCACCAGTCGCCCTGTGCTCGCGCCACAGGAGAACTATGGAGAGCGTGAACGATCAAATGAACCTGACAACAGCCAGAAATGATGCCTATATGGAGAAAGGGAGAAATCTGGATGGATGGATGGATGGATGGATGGATGGATGGATGGATGGATGGATGGATGGATGGATGGATGGATGGATGGATGGATGGATGCTCTGCCTTCTCAACCTACTGTATTTTTTATTTTAAACATTATTTGATGGCCTTTGTGGCAGGGATGGAGATCCATATTTTATGTCACACACAGAGTATACATCTAGATAGATAGATAGATAGATAGATAGATAGATAGATAGATAGATAGATAGATAGATAGATAGATAGATAGATAGATAGATAGATAGATAGATAGATAGATAGATAGATAGATAGATAGATAGATAGATAGATAGATAGATAGATGTTGCAGTATCTATAACAACCCAAACACACAGGATTTCAGAATTAGACATCCCCAGTTATTAATTTCATTTACTCACGGGATCTGAATGTCCTGTTATAAAACTTCACATCGCGTTCCCCCCTGATGTCATTTACGTTGAGTTGCAATAAATGCTAAACTGTCTGCAGGTTCTTGTCTTTGTCGTCCTCTCTATTCAGCTGGCTTTGGAAACACACGGCGAGAAGGTGGGGGCCGGGTGGTGAGGGTTACGGGGGCGAGAAACGCAAAAGTAACGCAATAGTTACTTTTACTAGTAACTAGTTACTTTTATTGTAGAGTAACTCAGTTAGTAACTCAGTTACTTTTTGGGAGAAGTAACTAGTAACTATAACTAATTACTTTTTCAAAGTAACGTGCCCAACACTGCCGGCAGCATTCCCAAAACCTGTCTTATATTGATCCCAGGGCCTGTAGAAGTTCACTGAGCCATCCATCCTCCTCTGTAGCACCTGCAGGGAGGTAAAAGAAGTTACACACTGAACACTGCTGTGTTACAATACCTTCTGTAACACTGTGTTACAGAGGTATTGTTGCATTTAGATTTGTTTCGAACTGGAACCCTTTCAGATCTTTTAGATCTTGATCTAATTTCAGTTCCAATAATCTGATCCAGATTTTATTTTGAGAACAGATGAATTGAGAATGAGTGTTGATAGAAAAGCACACATAGCAGCTTAAAGCATCAATTAAGATAAATTACTGTATTCTGAGGATGGGGAGAATCTAAACAGTATGGATACTCACAGTCCAACGTCCTTCCAAAGAGTTCATGTCACAGAACACCTGCAGAGACAAAAACAGGAGGTTGGTTTTACTGTAGCTCTACTGCTGCTGCTATTGATCATAATTGAATTTGCAGCTCATTGTAAAGCCAGAAATGGAATACCCTCCTTTGGGTCAGAAGCAATGCTGCTCGAACAGTAAAAAAACAACAACAAACAGGAATATTATCCAAGCTATATACTGTCATTAATGCAATTTCTTCAGTTTGTGCATAAAGAAAAAACTGCAGTGAAAATCTAGCTTCATCAAAAAATTGCTTTATCCATAAGAGAACAACCGCTTACGTATAGTGAACACCTGAAAAATAGCTTCCGCTCATTGAAATAGCAGACTTTAGGTGGCTCTTTGTACGCTCCACAAGTGCTCTTAATAGTGGCTAAAATGATAAAAGAACCAATTACTGGCTTTGGATTTAGCCTATTAATAAATAGAACTCTTAGAAGCTTTTGTATTTTTTAAATAATATCTTAACTGAATTTTCAAAGCAGAATGAATAACAGAATATATAGATTTTTTTTTATCATCTTGGTTGTGTTTTATTTAAAAGTCATGTAATATTTATTTCTCAAACTACTTTAATTTAGTAGGGCTTGGGATAAAATGGCTCTTTGGATTACAAAGGTTGCAGACCCCTGGTATAGATGGACTGCAATGTCGAGTACTGTAGATAAATGCCCACTGGTTGTATTGGTGTAAACACTGCTCTGCCACAGAGATCTGTTATTGTAATTTCGTAAGAGTTATCTATCAGTGTGTGATTTCTATTTTTCCTAGATATGTTCTGGGGGTGGGGGCTATTTAGAGTGTAATTATTTTAGATGCATTCTGGTAGGATGGCATCTTATTATAACTGGTAATCTTATTTTTCCATTATTAGGTTATTGAAATATCAATCAAAGAATTCCCATATTATTTAGCTGAGGAAACTCAGATTCCATTCGGATATATTTTAGGAATTCTGAAATAAAGCCTTGATTTACTTTTAGATCTGCTTTAGCTCACTGTACTGTTTGAAGATCCAATTTTCACCCAGCATAACTTGATGTTTAATTGAACTACCATCTCTAGATTTCCAAAGACTGCAAGTCTCCAGTGCCAGAAGGAAGAAAAGCAGCTCTAAAATATCACTTACCCACAGCTTTAGTGTAAGCACATATTTGTTTTATGCAAAATGCTTATTCTGTTTCACCATCTAAATCATAGCAGCAGGGGCTGCTTTCAGTTCAGGAGCTTTCAGTTTTTATCTTATGCTCTTCAACTGTTATTCCTCTACAGCACTTTGGTCAACCCAGGTTGTTTTAAATGTGCTTTATAAATAAAGTTTGAGTTGAGTTGAAGGGCGACACATTCATTTTGCAAAATTACTTTTTTACATCAATCAGGTTATAATAGTCCGATATTAAATTGCTCAAATTTCTGGCATATTAAATTGTCTGCTCAAAGGAATGCCTTAAACTAAACTTAAATTTGAATGACAGGCTGAGCTTAGTTTGTTTTGTAAGCCTATGTAATAAAACACATCTCTCATTAAAATTTCCTGATGATATTCCTCTCAAAGAAAACATCATGAACGTACCTCAACAGCAGAAGTGGCCCCAATAGGATAGATGGTGTAAACTCCACTAGCTCGGCTGTTATCATAGTTATAGATGTCACTGCAATCTAGAGGAAGCACAGGTGCACCGCTGGCCCAGAGAGGAAGCAGGATGAGAAAGAGAGACACCTGCAGCTGAACCACAGAAACATGTTATCTTTGAATAAAAATAATATTTAAGCATGCTATTCAGTATTATATACTGTAAACTAAAATCAAATGGATCGTAAAAACAATACATTACGAAAAAAAATAATAATAATTCAAGATTTTTCCCAAACTGCAAGACATTTTTATGAAATGTATTAATCATTTTCCTCCTTGTTAACTAATGAAGAATTAAACAGTGCAAAGTAAACATAATTAAGGTCATAAAACTAAACAATCAGTATTAATACTTATCCTAGGAAAAACGCTCAATGCATTTTAAATTCCATAGCACCATTTTTAAAGTCCAATTTATTTAGGCTTAAAAGTATAATACTGTAGTGTTATTTACAATATGACAAATTTAACTACAATTTTCTGAATCAGGGCAAACCAATTGGGATGGATAGTAAAGAAGAAGCTGAACAACCTTAGTCACTTTCTACCCTGCTCACTGTCAAACAGAAATCCCATTCTTTAATAACCCAAAAGTACCCTTTCACACCTTGAATGCTTCATATTGTGCTTCTACCGGCCCTCAAATCTATGGTAAAGAGGCAAGGACCCAGGATGACCCAGGAGAAAGTTCCTATGATTAGGAAGACCCCCTCTCTTGTTTTAGTACCAAAGTTAACTAAGCCGACAGTCCTAAATGACTATTGAAGGCTAACATTTCACACCACAACACCAAAATCCACATCCACCGGTAATCTGTTGTGCCCGCTCCGTTCCAATCCACCTATGGAAAGCTAAGCTAAGCTAAATACAGAGAGTGAATTTCATTGCTCTGTACTTGTGACAGTGTAATGACAATTAAAGCTGGAAAAAACAAAACTTCCTTTCAGTCCGTTTCGATTTCAATTACAATTCATGCTTATTCACACCCATTCCACTTTTAAGGTAAGTCTGAAATTTAGAAACCTAAGTTATTGTAGTTATAAAGCAAAAGTAAGGTGTTTCATATTGTCAACGATTTTCATTAAGTAATTTGAACCTAATATTTCAAATATAATAATAAATTGGTCTGACCGCATGAAAAATATCCTCACCCAATCAATCAAGAAAACACTGGTTAATGACTTTTCCCTAATTTACAATGAATTAAAACAAAATACATTTTAAGTTACTGGAACTCAAATTCCTTAATTGGAATGTGTAAGTAAATCCATTAACTAATTTAATTTTACCAGGCTAAAACCGATCTAGTGAAAATCCTTCAGCTGGGTAAACATTTGCGACAGTGATGTAAAAAAGGATGCCATTTAGATTATTGCATCAATATTTTATTTCTTCCAGCTTACAAGAGGTGATGCTAAACATTTTTTTATTTCTACCGAAAGGAATCCCTAAATTGTATCCAAAGAAAATATATTATTGCTTTCTGTTTATTTTTGAATAAAGAGCCAATAGAAAAGGCACATAGAAATATAGCTATACAGTATAGAAATATTTCTCTCTTTGTTCTTGTTTCTATCTATTCAAGTATGATCAAAATGTTTCCTTTTATTGTCATTAAAACATTTTCTGTTTCCTTTGAATATTTCAAGATTTTAGTTAGCATATTCATTCAACTTAGGTCTGGATTGGCATTGCATTACAAGGCAATTATTTAGGGTCTCTCTGCAATGTCTTACACCAAAAACCTGTAAATATAAATCTACTTTGATCCCTGAGCAGTGGTAACAAACGGGTAAATTCTTAGAAATGAAGCCAAAATGGCCAAGGTAGAAAGAAGAGTGTTTTTGTTCTTTGCATTTTGGACTTGTGATATTTACAAGATTTTATTTGGCATCAAGCTATACTTCTTTCCTGCAAAATTTTGGTTGATCTGCACCTCACTGCACCATAGGTAAAGTGAGTGTACACATGAATTATTTTGGTTTCTTGTGTTGCCCAAATCACAGCCTGACCGCTTTCAGTGTGAACCCAGTGTTGCTCGAGTGTTTAAAAAAAGATTGGGAGGAAGATCTTTTAGGTTTCAGGCACCACTCCTGTCGAACCAACCAGTGATTTTAGTCTGTGAGGGATACAATCTGTCTAATTAAAAGACAAGGCTTAAAAGTTTATTTTACTGTAAGGGTGGCCAAAAATTATAATGATTATGACTTTATTTCTATAGACCTACCAAACATCTTAACATGTAAATCCTTGCTAATGTCTCCATTCAGGTCTCGTATCCCACCCTTGGGGATTAAGATGATTGAATATTTTCTTTTTTCCCATATTAGTAATATGTTTTTTAAAATAAGAGACACTGTTTGCTTTATAAATTTTAGTTTAAAATTAATATAATTAAAACCTTTTAGAAAAAGAAAAATTTTTTCTAGTTTTGTGACTAATTTAGAGTTATTGATTTTAAAATAACATTGTGTAAAACAAACAACCAAGAAATCCGAAGTGATGAACTCACCTTCACTATCTTAGCTGTCTTGCAGTAATAGTTGCACTTTAGAGATGAAAACTGTCAGCTTGAGTTTTTTCAGACTTCTGCTACAGCAGTCTAATACCAGTCCTAAGGTTATCTGCTTTTATAAGTAAAAGATTAATAATTTACTAAAACTATTGCAAACACAATCTATATCACAAAAAGGAAATAAGGAAGCTCAGTGATAATCGCGAACAAGCTAGTGGCACTAGATAACTTGCCCTTTTGTCCTAGACAAGTGCACGTTCTCTTCGAGTCTAAATTGTATTTATTCATCAATAGGATTTTGATATACTTTGTGTATCTGTGAAGATTCTCAGTCATCCAAGTCATGGTCAAGTTTGCAAGGTTCAATTGATGCAACTGGATGTGATGTTTTCTAGAAGATGTTTCCCCTCCTCAAACAGGCTACAGTACATCAGTTCAAACTACATAGAGGTGGGGAGCCCTGAGATTAATATACTGTTGAGGGAACAAGAAATTAGGGGGAGCACAAGGTTGCTCTGATCCCTTCTCCTGGATTAGTGATGGAGGTCACCTGGGAGGTTAATGGTCATTAGGGGGTTCTAATTGGTTATCATGGTGGTTTTGGTCACATGGCTCATTGAAGCTCACCTGGAAAAACCATCTCTCAACAGAAGAGGTTGTCTTAGATTTAACTTTATCTACTCACAAAGAACTTTTAGGAACAATACCAAGAAGATTGACCTCTTACCCACGAGTCTCACTAATTTTACAAATCACTAGTTTTGTTTAAATATCTCAATAATTTTGATGAAAACTTCTTTTAGAGGAGAATATGAGTTAGTAATAATACTAATACATATATTAGGACCCTGTCTAGAAGTACTGGCATTGCAGGCTTCATGATATTGATACTGCGTGATATTGAGACATATGTGTTCTAACTAGGATTAAATTATATTGTAGTATTACTTTTATTATAAGGCTGGCTGGTTACCAATAAAAACTTAAAAAATACAGAACATAAGTGCAATATATCCGTTTTTGTCATTATTTTATCAAGAGCTCGGACCCACATGCAGAGAAACCAATACAGAGAGACCAGGGGAAGAAGTTTAACAGGTTTATTGAGAAGTTTGTGGAGATTCCAGTGTTGCTCTGAACACTGCTCAACCGGAACTGAAAGGTGAGGGGAAGACGCTGCGATTAGTTCAGGTTCAGTGGGAAAATTGATTCTCGAACTTGAAGAGGAGGAAAGGTAGGCAGATGCACATTTCCAGAGAAATGGTTGACTCTTTGACTCCAGTAGGTGTGAGATGTGTTCCAGTGTTTGTCTCGTTCCGTGGAGGGCGGACAGGGTTTATCCAGAACGCGGTTGCTTGTAGGTGAACGGAGAAACTGACTGCCACCCAGATTTCCTGCGGTACTTGAACGGACTTTGGTGCAGATGAATCCCTTGCTCAGTGTGAAACTCAAATGACTCCTTGGAGGAAAGTTTGTATTCCCAGCTTGAGGCTCAGTTGATCCTTCCAGGGAGAGAAGATCTGAAAAATCCAGTTTGCAGGATGACTTCCTGCCGAGAGGCAAAAACAGAATATAAAGGTTAAGACTCAGGTTGACAAAAACTCAGTTTGACACAGCAAAACTCAGCTTGGCTAGAGTACCCAAAACTGGCTAACACTCTGGCATAGAGGTTGTGGCAGTCAGCAGCATAAGAGCACTCTATTAATGAGGTAACCCCTTGCAGGTGTGTGAGGAGGTGAATCAGAACCAGGCGCCGCCTGGTGGAGGAAGGAAGACAAACACACAAAAACACAAACCCCACAGGAGTCCTAACAGTTTTATGCTTAATAGTTGTGATTAGGTTGGTGGATGTTGTTGTGGACCCAAATACAGAGTAAAGGAGGCAAAGATAGTTTTTGCAGTTTTAATGGTAAAGTGGATGGTACAAAACAGAAATCCAGAAATAACGGGCTGGGAACTCAGGAACCACGCACTAAGGAGAAACACACATTATGAAATTAAAGGGGAATGTTTTTTATGTTTTTATGATGTTCTACTCATCCATATGAGTTTTGTGTCATTTGGAGCCGTTCTAAAGATATTCCGTTAGGTTATAGCCAAGTAACGTCTTCCTATGGGCAAATGACTTTAAGACACAAACGAAACTGTTCATAATTTACTATTTATGGTACACCAGCATTCATACCATGTAGGCGAATCACTGTCTCGCAGACATCCAAGGTTATATTTTTTATATTTATATTTTTTAAAACAAAGCGGAGTGTGTATGACGTCATGCGCAGGACTGCAGTTGTGACAGGCCACAGGCGGCTGTGCTCTACCCCTTATATTAATTCGGCTAGCTTCAATTCCCTTTCGAGAGTGAGATCATCTGTGGTAACACTAGACATCATCCAGAGATGTGGGTAAAACTAGCAGCAGTACAACGGACAGGATGAATGAATGGTAGCTGGCGTGTGCGAGCAGCTGGCACAAAACAACATCAAAAATGTGTTGAGGGGTCTCAAGAACATCTCCAGCTTTGGGCAGGGAGACACCACCACTAGTACAGCAGACAGAGACACCTGGTTTGCAGATGAGTTAAAAA